CAGGTCCTCTTGAGCTGCCTCGAAGAGCTGGCAACTCGCTCACACACGGAGGCTGACAGTGGGCAGTGAGTCGCTCGCTCGCACGCACACACACTCATTCACTCATTCGCTAGTTCACTCGTTCACTCATTAATCAACTCATTCACCCACTTGTTCACTCATTCACCCGCTCATACAAACACTCACTCAGCCACTCGTTCACTCATTCACTAGTTGACTCGTTCACTCATTAATCAACTCATTCACCCACTTGTTCACTCATTCATCCGCTCATACAATCATTCACTCACCCACTCGTTCACTCATTCACTAGTTGACTAGTTCACTCATTAATCAACTCATTCACCCACTTGTTCACTCATTCACCCGCTCATACAAACACTCACTCACCCACTCGTTCACTCATTCACTAGTTCACTCGTTCACTCATTAATCAACTCATTCACCCACTTGTTCACTCATTCACCCGCTCATACAAACACTCACTCACCCACTCGTTCACTCATTCACTCGTTCACCCACTCTCTTCCAGTCGTTCACCCACTTGTTCACTCATTCACCCGCTCATACAATCATTCACTCACTCACCCACTCGTTCACTCATTCACTAGTTCACTCGTTCACTCATTAATCAACTCATTCACCCACTTGTTCACTCATTCACCCGCTCATACAAACACTCACTCACCCACTCGTTCACTCATTCACTAGTTCACTCGTTCACTCATTAATCAACTCATTCACCCACTTGTTCACTCATTCACCCGCTCATACAAACACTCACTCACCCACTCGTTCACTCATTCACTCGTTCACCCACTCTCTTCCAGTCGTTCACCCACTTGTTCACTCATTCACCCGCTCATACAATCATTCACTCACTCACCCACTCGTTCACTCATTCACTAGTTCACTCGTTCACTCATTAATCAACTCATTCACCCACTTGTTCACTCATTCACCCGCTCATACAAACACTCACTCACCCACTCGTTCACTCATTCACTAGTTCACTCGTTCACTCATTAATCAACTCATTCACCCACTTGTTCACTCATTCACCCGCTCATACAAACACTCACTCACCCACTCGTTCACTCATTCACTCGTTCACCCACTCTCTTCCAGTCGTTCACCCACTTGTTCACTCATTCACCCGCTCATACAATCATTCACTCACTCACCCACTCGTTCACTCATTCACTAGTTCACCCACTCTCTTCCAGTCGTTCACCCACTTGTTCACTCATTCACCCGCTCATACAAACATTTGCTCATTCACCCACTCGTTCATTCTCTCATTCACCCACTTGTTCACTCATTCACTCATTAACCAACTCGTTCACCCACTTGTTCACTCATTCACCCGCTCATACAAACATTCACTCACTCACCCACTCATTCACTCGTTCACTCATTCACTAGTTCACTCATTAACTAAGTCGTTCACTCGTTCACTCATTCACTAGTTCACACACACTCTTCCAATCGTTCACCCACTTGTTCACTCATTCACCCGCTCATACAAACATTCACTCATTCACCCACTCGTTCATTCACTCGTACGCTCACTCACCCACTCGTTCACTCATTCACCCAATCATTCACTCATTCACCCACTCATTCACCCACTCGTTCATTCATTCACCCACTCGTTCACTCATTCACCCATTCGTTCACTCATTCACCCACTCATTCACTCACTCGTTCACTCATTCACCCACTCATTCACCCACTCGTTCATCCACTCGTCCACTCATTCACCCACTCATTCACCCACTCGTTCACTCATTCACCTACTCATTCACTCATTCTCCCACTCATTCACCCACTCATTCACTCATTCACCCACTGATTCACTCATTCACCCACTCATTCACTCATACTCATTTTTCCACTCATTCACCCAATTTGTCACCCACTCCTACACTCATTCACACACTCATTCACCCACTCCTACACTCATTCGCACACTCATATATTCATTCCCTCGTACACTTGTGCAATAATTCACTCTGTATTATTTCACTCATTCCTTGTTACCCACTCACTCACTAATCTGCTAATCGATTCACCCAATGCTCTCGCTTATTCATTCACTCCTTTACTCGCTTTCCCACTCATTCACTCACTGACTCATTCATCCACCCACTCCCTCATGAACTCATTCACGCACTCGCCGCTCACTCATCCATACATTCATGATGATGATGATGAAGCTGATGGTGATGATCGTGATCGTGATGGTGATGATGGTGATGCTGATGGTGATGATGCTGATGAAGCTGATGGTGATGTTGATGATGCTGATGATGGTGATGGTGGTGATGAAGCTGATGGTGATGTTGATGATGCTGGTGATGGTGATGATGCTGATGATGGTAATGGTGGTGATGAAGCTGATGGTGATGATGGTGATGATGCTGATGGTGATGTTGGTGATGATGATGCTGATGGTGTTGTTGATGATGCTAATGATGATGGTGATGATGCAGATGATGCTGATGATGATGCTGATGGTGATGATGCAGATGCTGATAATAGTGATGATGTTGTTTAGTTTTGCAGCTGACATTCTGAGTCTGGAGCTGCACGGCTTGATGAAAGACAGAGCAACACCAACTCCTGTGAGTCTCTCCCCTTCGCACAGACTAATGCAGCGTGCTAACCGCAGCACCACCACTCCCCTTCGCACAGATTAACCCAGCGTGCTAACCACAGCACCACCACTCCGCTCCACACAGACTAACCCAGCGTGCTAACCACAGCACCACCACTCCGCTCCACACAGACTAACACAGCGTGCTAACCACAGCACCACCACTCCCCTTCACACTGACTAACGTAGCGTGCTAACCGCAACACCACCACTCCCCTTCACACAGACTAACGCAGCGTGCTAACCGCTGCACCACCACTCCCCTTCGCACAGACTAACGTAGCGTGCTAACCACAGCACCACCACTCCCCTTCACACAGACTAACACAGCGTGCTAACCACAGCACCACCACTCCCATCCACACAGACTAACACAGCGTGCTAACTGCAGCACCACCACTCCCCTTCGCACAGACTAACACAGCGTGCTAACCACAGCACCACCACTCCCCTTCGCACAGACTAACACAGCGTGCTAACCACAGCACCACCACTCCCCTTCGCACAGACTAACGCAGCGTGCTAACCACAGCACCACCACTCCCCTTGACACTAACACAGCGTGCTAACCACAGCACCACCACTCCCCTTGATACTAACACAGCGTGCTAACCACAGCGCCACCACTCCTCTTGACACTAACACAGCGTGCTAACCACAGCACCACCACTCCCCTTGACACTAACACAGCGTGCTAACCACAGCACCACCACTCCCCTTGACACTAACACAGCGTGCTAACCACAGCACCACCACTCCCCTTGACACTAACACAGCGTGCTAACCACAGCACCACCACTCCCCTTGACACTAACACAGCGTGCTAACCACAGCACCACCACTCCCCTTGACACTAACACAGCGTGCTAACCACAGCACCACCACTCCCCTTGACACTAATACAGCGTGATAACCGCAGCACCACCACTCCCCTTGACACTAACACAGCGTGCTAACCACAGCACCACCACTCCCCTTGACACTAACACAGCGTGCTAACCACAGCACCACCACTCCCCTTGACACTAACACAGCGTGCTAACCACAGCACCACCACTCCCCTTGACACTAACACAGCGTGCTAACCACAGCACCACCACTCCCCTTGACACTAACACAGCGTGCTAACCACAGCAACACCACTCCCCTTGACACTAACACAGCGTGCTAACCACAGCACCACCACTCCCCTTGACACTAACACAGCGTGCTAACCGCAGCACCACCACTCCCCTTGACACTAACACAGCGTGCTAACCACAGCACCACCACTCCCCTTGACACTAACACAGCGTGCTAACCACAGCACCACCACTCCCCTTGACACTAACACAGCGTGCTAACCACAGCACCACCACTCCCCTTGACACTAACACAGCGTGCTAACCACAGCACCACCACGCCCCACACTGTCTCCAATCTCTCTCTCTGGTTTTATTTCACCGGGCGCTCGAACCCACGTGGGGTTCATATCGTGGGTCCGCTGGGGCGGCCCGAGAAATTGCGAGCGACATGAAGAGTCCTTCCCACCGCCATCTGCTCGCTCGCTCGCTCAGCCCGGCGTCCTCGCTCCCTCGGCTCGCTCGCTCAGCCCGGCGTCCTCGCTCCCTCGGCCCTACTCCTCGGCTGACCCGGGCCCAGACCTCGGGAATCCGCGAGCTCTCCCTCTCCTCCCTGCGTCTCCCGCTTCTTATGGCCTCACGTCAGCGGCTTGCGAGCCGCGGTGTCTACGCGGCCGTAAATCGTTCCGGGCCCCCCCCCCCCGCCCCTACCACCATCGTCGCTGTCTCTGAGAATGTAGCGCTCGCCCGCAGAGGGGGGGGGGGCCCGGCAAGTCTTTGTGGCCGCAGGCTGCCGCCAGGGTCCGATTCCACGGTTCGCCAGCGGTTGACCACGATTAACCACGATTAACCACGATTAACCACGATTGCCCCGATGAGGCCGAGGCACTTTGCCGACGGCCAGGAGGCCTTCGGTCGTTTTCCGCAACGTCTCGGATTAAAAACTCGCTCTGCCGAGTGACCTCATCAGGACCTACTGTGTGGGTGCGTGTGTACGCGTGTGTGTGCGTGTACGCGTGTGTGTGCGTGTACGCGTGTGTGTGCGTGTGCGCGTGCGTGTGTACACGTGTGTGTGTGTGTACGTGTGTGTGTGTACGCGTGTTTGTACGTGTACGTGTGTGCGTGCGTGTGTACGCGTGCGTGCGTGCGTGTGTATTTTGCAGGAGCAACGCCTCCTCATTGTGCTCAGCACTTGCCGATACCTTTCCCATCACGGCCTCCACAGCCTGGGCCAGCTCATGGAGCGACACGACCTTCCTGCGGTCGCCTCTGTGCTGCAGGTACTGAAGTTACTGCTTCGGGGACTGTGGTGTGTGTTCGGGCCCGGTGGCGTGGTTTGACACGGCCACTGTTAACCCCTTAAGAGAGACCCTGGATTCATAATTCTTGGTTCTTTCGGGTAAAGTCACGTAGAGGAGAAATAATAAAATGAAATAATACGGCTGAAACAATAAAATTATCACGAAGTTTCGACTGCAACACAAGCAATCGTCATCAGGTGTGAAAACCACAGCAAGGAAATTTGAAAAAAAGTGGCATTTTTTTCTTAACGTTTTTAGCACCACGGACAGCGACTGGCCGTTGTTCAGACGGACGAGTCCATCTGTGCTCGGAACGGAGGAGGGGGGAGATAGAAAGAGAATGGAATGCGGTCTGAAAGTCACCGTATGCGTGAACACAATCAATTAACACCCGAAATGGTTTATCAAATCCTCCCAATGATTGCGAAGCCAGAATCCATCTTCTCGGTTTAAATTGTCTCGGGAGTTAAAGAGAAGATTTGACCAGGTAAGGCCTGAGCTGCTGTGTAGCTCTTCATTCAGAAACGACCTGGCCATCACAAATGATAGCTCAACCAAGTGGCTCGTCACCATGTGGACATTTATATAAATATACATTTATAGCAGCGGCCACATTCTCGACATGCGTGACGTTGATACTTCACGTGGAGAGCAAAACCGGGAGGACCCAGAGAAAAATCCACGCAACCATGGGGAGGAGAGAGGGAGGTGTCGTCAGGGTCGGGATCGAACCCACGACCTCCTGCACACCAGGCGAGGGAGTCAACATCTCCTAGCCACCGTGTCACAAGGCTCGGGATCGAACCCACGACCTCCCGCACACCAGGCGAGGGAGTCAACATCTCCTAGCCACCGTGGGGTCAGGCTCGGGATCGAACCCACGACCTCCCGCACACCAGGCGAGGGAGTCAACATCTCCTAGCCACCGTGTCACAAGGCTCGGGATCGAACCCACGACCTCCCGCGCACCAGGCGAGGGAGTCAACATCTCCTAGCCACCGTGTCACAAGGCTCGGGATCGAACCCACGACCTCCCGCGCACCAGGCGAGGGAGTCAACATCTCCTAGCCACCGTGTCACAAGGCTCGAGATCGAACCCACGACCTCCCGCGCACCAGGCGAGGGAGTCAACATCTCCTAGCCACCGTGTGGTCAGGGTCGGGATCGAACCCACGACCTCCCGCGCACCAGGCGAGGGAGTCAACATCTCCTAGCCACCGTGTGGTCAGGGTCGGGATCGAACCCACGACCTCCCGCGCACCAGGCGAGGGAGTCAACATCTCCTAGCCACCGTGTCACAAGGCTCGAGATCGAACCCACGACCTCCCGCGCACCAGGCGAGGGAGTCAACATCTCCTAGCCACCGTGTGGTCAGGGTCGGGATCGAACCCACGACCTCCCGCGCACCAGGCGAGGGAGTCAACATCTCCTAGCCACCGTGTGGTCAGGGTCGGGATCGAACCCACGACCTCCCGCGCACCAGGCGAGGGAGTCAACATCTCCTAGCCACCGCGTCGTCAGGGTCGGGATCGAACCCACGACCTCCCGCGCACCAGGCGAGGGAGTCAACATCTCCTGGCCACCACGGTAACAACAAAATCGACATTTCAAGAGCCGCCGCAACACAACGTGGTGAATGCGAGAGACGGCGGTGGGGTGCTTGGTAAACAAATAAATAAATAAATATCGCTCACGGTGCAGCGGTCACTGAAAGAGCCGCGGGTTTTGGCGACCTCCTGGGACCGACCGGACAAAATAAGTACACGTAAAGAGCTTCGTGGCTCATCGGATTCGTCCTGTCTTAAAATATAGATTCCTCGTTCTGACTTGGGTCCACGGGGCCCGAGTAGTTGGAGGCTCGCGTGAGGTGGCCCACTACGAAACACCCCGGAGGAACTCACAAACAAGATGCCGAGCCCTCTCGGTCCGCTAGGGGGCGGTGCAGGACTAGGTGTTGACTCTCACGGAGATAAACTCAACTGGAACACAATCTTATGTTTTTTTTATTATTATTACACGCTTTCTATTAACTCACTCTGTTGTTGTTGTATCCTCAAATCTTGTAACTCAATTTTAGCCCACTTCCCAATGTGGTATCGACTGCACAACTTGGTATACTTACATCATACTGATGACAATACTATATTCTATCATTAAAAATAAAATACAAATATTTTTAAACATTAATTATTTTACATGTTATGTTTCGGCTTGGGTCTAATTGTCCACACTCAACTGACGTTGGCTGTAAACGACCACGGGTCCCTTACGTTGTGGCGAGCTTCGGGAACACTTCCTGGAGTCGTGCAGTTCTGACATTACTAGTAGGGTACACTTCATTGCAGCGTGTTTTAAAATGTTTTTTTTTTAAATATGACTTATTTATCTTACCAGGATTGTGCCCCACTGAGCTTGATGTATTGCTATTTTTTCAGAAGCGACCTGGCCATCACAAATGATAGCTCAACTAAGTGGCTTGTCCATCATCATCATCATAGCGTGGGAATTTATAGCAGGGTTTAGTTCCCCTGTGTGAGAGTTGTGTCTCTATGTGAGAGATGTTAACTCCCTCCCCTGGTGTACAGGAGATCGTGGGTTCGATCCCGACCCTGACGACGCCTGCTGCTGCTGTATATTTGGAGTCTGCGTGTCTCTCTCTCTCTCTCTTATCATCATCACGGTGGCTAGGAGATGTTAACTACCTCGCCTGGTACACAGGAGGTCGTGGGTTCGATCCCGACCCTGACAACGCCTGCTGTATATTTTGAGTCTGCGTGTCTCTGTCTCTCCCCGTGGTTGCGTGGATTTCTCTTCGGGACCTCCGGATATTTCCCCTCCACGTTTAGAATCAACGTCACCGCGCGTTTAGAGCGTTTGCAATAAATTCCCACGCAGCGATGATAATAAGCCACTTCTGTTCAGCTATCGTATTGCGATGGCCAAGTGTCTTCTGACAAGAGAACTACACAGCTCAGTCGGAGCCTTATGCCTATTGAAATATGAGGATAGATTACATCATTAGACCTCCTTTGCCAGTACCAAAATATAATAAATGGGGTTTTTCCCCTTTTTTCTGGCAGCAAAACTGAAACCTCTTTACGAGAATCCATGTCTGCATTAACCACAATACCTGCAGTCAAAATGCAAACAAAAAACATACTATGATAAAAATGGGAAAAACCCTATTATTACATTTTGGTACTGGCAAAAGGAGGTCTAATGATGTAGATGCTCACCCCGAGCCCTCATTACTTTGATAGTGGCATTGTCTTTTAGCTGTGCGACGCCTTTTGGCGTCATGTGGTCGAGCACCAATTGGGTGGAGGCTCAAAAGAAAGCCGTCCCTTGGTGTTTGCATTTTGACTGCAGGTATTGTGGTTAATGCAGTAACATGAATAATTGTAAGAAGGTTTCAGTTTTGTTGCCAGAAAAAAGGGGAAAAACCCTATTATTATGATAGATTAGTTTTAGTATGGGTTACTGTAGGTCTCTGTAGGTCTCTGTGGGTCTGAGCGAGTTTTTAGCTTAGCTCAAGGCGTTTCTCGTCGCACCGGAGCAAACCCGGCTGTGTGCGTGAGTGTAACTTCTTCTGTTGTTGTTTGTTGGAGTTTGTTGTTGTTTGTTGTTGTTTGTTGTTGCTTGTGGCTTGCAAACCCAGACTTGATGGGGAACTCCCCTCCAAGGCTGCTTCTTAGCGGTGTGCCGGACCAGACTCTCAGTCTCCCTGCCCCGACCCCCCTGGGAACTAAACCCTGACCTGACCCCCTGGGAACTAAACCCTGACTTGACCCCTTGAGAATTAAACCCTGACTTGACACCCTTGAGAACTGAACCCTGACCTGACCCCCTGGGAACTAAACCCTGACCTGACCCCCTGGGAACTAAACCCTGACCTGACCCCCTAGGAACTAAACCCTGACCTGACCCCCTGGGAACTAAACCCTGACTTGACCCCTTGAGAACTAAACCCTGACCTGACCCCCTAGGAACTAAACCCTGACTTGACCCCCTGGGAACTAAACCCTGACCTGACCCCCTAGGAACTAAACCCTGACCTGACCCCCTGGGAACTAAACCCTGACCTGACCCCCTGGGAACTAAACCCTGACTTGACCCCCTGGGAACTAAACCCTGACCTGACCCCCTGGGAACTAAACCCTGACCTGACCTCCTGGGAACTAAACCCTGACTTGACCCCCTGGGAACTAAACCCTGACCTGACCCCCTGGGAACTAAACCCTGACCTACCCCCTGGGAACTAAACCCTGACCTGACCCCCTGGGAACTAAACCCTGACCTGACCCCCTGGGAACTAAACCTTGACCTGACCCCCTGGGAACTAAACCCTGACCTGACCCCCTGGGAACTAAACCCTGACCCCCTGGGAACTAAACCCTGACTTGACCCCCTGGAAACTAAACCCTGACCTGACCCCCTGGGAACTAAACCCTGACCTGACCCCCTGGAAACTAAACCCTGACCTGACCCCCTGGGAACTGAACCCTGACCCCCTGGGAACTAAACCCTGACCTGACCCCCTGGGAACTGAACCCTGACTTGACCCCTTGAGAACTAAACCCTTACTTGACCCCCTGGAAACTAAACCCTGACCTGACCCCCCTGGGAACTGAACCCTGACTTGACCCCTTGAGAACTAAACCCTGACCTGACCCCCTGGGAACTAAACCCTGACCTGACCCCCTGAGAACTAAACCCTGACTTGACCCCTGGGAACTAAACCCTGACTTGGCCCCTGGGAACTAAACCCTGACCTGACCCCCTGGGAACTAAACCCTGACCTGACCCCCTGGGAACTAAACCCTGACTTGACCCCCTGGGAACTAAACCCTGACCTGACCCCCTGGGAACTAAACCCTGACTTGACCCCCTGGGAACTAAACCCTGACCTGACCCCCTGGGAACTAAACCCTGACTTGACCCCTTGAGAACTAAACCCTGACTTGACCCCCTGGGAACTA